ATATATATATATATAAACACATTCACAAGTCTGAGAACAGATAAATGTCCATCAAAACCATGGCTGTAATGGAATGTAAAAAGATTTGGTCAACGAACTGTACGTTTTTTGGTGTTCCATACAAGCTGTTTTGAATTATTTGTTTCTTTAAACTGAAATTTGGATGAAAAAGAAATAGTAGAACAGCACTGATTTCGATTACGAGCCATAATCTTCAAAGCTTCCAGCCATTTGGAGCCCCCATCATGTGGTCCCCAACCTGGAGGACAGATCCTGCTAATGCCAAACATGTGACATTCTTGATGTTCCTCTTCAAGGATATCGTTCGCCGCCTCGGCATTTTTGCCACTCATGCCCAGGAATTGAAAATAATGCTCGGCGAGAAAGTCGATTGCTTGGCATGCGCAACACCTGACTGAGCCAACGTAAACGGTGGCTGGGATTGTTCGCTCCGAGTACGCGGCTTCTAATTTCCGAGTTGCTTACGAGGTATTGACACCTCACATGAGCGATAGTTCTCAAGCAGCGGTTGTCGAAAAATGCTAGTGGTTTCAGATGTTTGCGTGAACAGGTCAGGTCTTGCAGCCGTACAGCAGGAACCCAAGGACAGTGGAACCGCACACTCTGCCTTTAAGTCTTGGAGTGAAGTCGCGGCGGCGGCACAAGTGTCACAGATTAGCGAACGCCAGGCGGGATTTAGTGATTCGTTGATATACTTCATCTTCGACAACGCGCGACAGAGGCAAACAGATTAGAGGCAATAAGGATCAGACAGATCTCTCTGTGACTGCTACTTTCCGAATGTGAACAACTTTTGAAAATGGCAACCATAACAGCGTGGTCCCAGTCTGTTGGGACCGCCCCCTGCTCCCACAGCTTCCCTAGTAAGTTGTGTGAATCATCTATAAGAGCTGGCCCCCCGAATTTAAAAAGGGTTGGATGAAGTCCAACTGCTTCTGCGGTCTTATTCAATTGCAACACTCTGATCACACGTTCGACTTTGGTGCGTGAAGGCGGATCCACAGGGACGCCCAGGGAGTAGAGCAAACAGCCCCTGAAAAGGAAGATGATAACTCACGCTGACTAAACTGCTTTCGAAGGGTTCATTCCAACGCTCCAAACGTTTTGACAAGCTGTGGATTGGCTACACACTCTTGTCGCGCATAGTTTCACAAATATCAGGTCTCCTGTTGCCCATCTGCGGTATCAGAAAAAAACTACCTATGGTTACCTAGGACAGCGGCTGTCTCCATTTCCGATGAACGATGAAACCACCAGGCATCGCGGTCTCTCTTCAGGCTAGCATGCAATTTTGCTCCAAGGTCTTTGCGAGTCTCGTTGTGTTCGCTTCCAGTCGGAATAAGGCGAGAATGCAGAAGTCCCAGTGACCCCGTAGAGACCCAATGTACAGGATTGAAATTTGATTCATCACATTAGTACATGTCTGTTGATAGTAACGCCTGGCGGATATGCGACCAGTTATCTTCAACCCTGTTCAGTGGGTGTTTACTCCGTCTGCATGCCAGCGCACTCTGATACATATTCGGAATAACTGACTTCGCTAGTTGATTGATGACCATGCGCTCACAGCGACGTTGCGGACGTCCGCCGAAACGCACCCACAAATTGGCACAAACAAACGCGGGATCGGAGTCCACACACGGGCTTCAAATCGAGCGACAGTTTTAGACACAGCCTCTCCAGTGGTAACTGATCGCGATGTGATCGATTTTTGTCCATGGCTGGTGGGCACCAAATCAACCTTCTGCGTGTGTTGTGTCGAAAGTTAGTGTTCGCGAGAAATAAACGAGTATCTTCACATGGGTGTGGCAACCGCTCACCGGTATCATTACAGGAGCCTACACCATGTTGGCCGCATGGATGAAACTCATCGGTGGACAATTTTCCAAACTTGGCGTTCAGATCGCCAACAAGCCCAACGGTATCTATACTCTTTCTGAGACGACAGAGATCGTTCAAATGGTGATAGAATTCATCTTTCACCGAATCAGTGTTGCAGTTTGTGGGGGCGTAGGCCGCAATGACACGCAGGCATCGCGCGACTACGAAACTTGGAACGAGCCAGCCACTTTGACGGCGCACATGCAGCTGTTGACCGGGATCAATCGACCAGAGCGGCTTCAGCCCGGGGACTCAGAACAATGCCCAGACCGGTATTTGAATCTGCATCATCTCCATAGAGGCACAATAAGAAAGCGCCGCCAATGTCGTATGTGGGTAAGCACAGAGCTCGAATCTTGTGAGCGGGTTTCCGCTGAACAGTAAATATCGATCGATAGGGTCTCGGGTGTTCTGGCAAGTGATGCATGTTGGCCAAGCTGAAACTAGGTGAGTTTGTTGAGGCATGCCAGTCTAAGCGATGATCAAGGGCTTCAAATAGGAATAGATGAACTGACGTTCTAAGCTCGGTCGAACATGGACTTGTCGACTGGGCTGGAGCGACGCCTTGAGATCGCGTACGAGTTGAGACTAGAAGACAAGCGACTATTCAAGCAAGGTGGGGAGGGAGGGGGATTGTAAACAGGGGGATGAAATTGAAGTTGGAGCGGGACGCTAAGGATGAAAAAGCGCAAGAGGGGAATGAGAAGGCGTGAAGGCCTGAGCAGTAGCATCCAAACCTCTATCCACCCTGCTGGACGCAGCAGATAGGGCGCCGTTTATTTTCCAATACGACGGCCAGAGCAACAAGAAATTGATTGAAAAGAAATTCCTTGTTGTACTCATGAGTAGGGGGTTTTGATATAGACAATTGAGGTTCATCACAACCAGCTTCCCAATCAGATGGTCGTCAACATGCCCGGAAAAGCAGTGGACTGCAGTTTCAGCATATGGACGACTATTTGCTTTGGAAGCTGGCTGTGATGAACCTCAATTATCTATAACAAAATCCCCTACTCATGAATACATCAAAATATATCCGCCCTAACAGTTTCTAATTGCTGTGTCGTACATAGCTACTGTTAGCGGACATCGTGCCTTTAAGGGTCAACGCTGTCCTCTGCAACGTTCGTAACTTGTATGGCAGTGGAGGGTAAGACGCGCTATATCACAGTTAACTTTTAAATCATGACGGTCCGAAGCTGTCCCCCGTGGCCCAGTGGCATAAGCTGCTGACTGGCGGTGCAAGCCGCTGGTGGTCATGGGTTCGAATCCTGATGGATCCGACCTACTGATGATGCAAAACAGGCTGAAACTGCAGTCTAGTGCTTTTCCGAGCATGTGGACGACTATCTGATTTGGAAGCTGGCTGTGATGAAGCTCAAGAAATTGCTTGTATTGCGTTGGCAAGATATTGATAGTTTGCCCAGGCCTAGACAGGAGAACAATTAGGGTTCTCAACCAACGCCTTTGCTTCAAAAACCTAACCGCAAGGCAGTGAGATTTTGTCACTGGGCTACGGAGAATCCGATTTGCGGAGTAAGGAGACACCCTTACACAAACACCCAACCTGGAGCGCCAAGAGACTGTTTGTCTAGTCTCTAACCATTGGTCAATCAGGTATGAGTGGCTCTGAAGGTGCAAAAGCACTATCCTGGATAGCTCAGTGAATGGTTGGGGCAGGCAAACCATCGCCCAGTCTCGTTGCAAAGGGATAAAATACCGAGATTGAACTCCAGTAGAGGGTGTCGAAATTCGTAAAAGCCAATAGGACAGAAATAACACTAGTAAAACACGAGGTTGCAAGTGTTTCCTAAGATGCGAAGATATGTCGCTTGTCTCAACGTGTGCGCAACGGCTACCGCGAAGTTAATAAATCACCGTCTGTCCGTACTTACTTTAGTGTATATCGGAAACGAGATGAAACGGAGCAATGAGCCGCAGTTGAACAATAGAGATGCGTTATATGAGAATACAAAAGTAAAGTGATTAACCTAATGAACGCTGAATAACCGATTCACGCTGCATAGGTCATCAAAGATATATGTTCAGTTTAGAAACAAACCCGTAACCCTGAGGCTGAAAAAACACGTCGCATACTGGATATGGAAGCCTCACGATTGAGTTAAAGTGGAAGATGATGCTTCCGAAGACAACACACACACACAGGGGAAGCTTTATCGGTCCAGTCACATGGAATGTAGCGGAAGCCAAAGGTAGGAGGAAAGATCAAATTAACTGCCAGCGTGAATGCGCCGGAAAAAAACAGTTCACAGTGCCGAAATATCGGACAGGAATTATGTATGGGGCTAGAGAAAAACACTTGTTGAAAAGTAACTATGCCCAGAGACAAACGTGCAGGTGTTGCGCAGTCGACACAGAATCAGAACGTTACACTAGTAAGCAATCAGACGAGCCTTTGATGACAGAAGGGTAAGAAAGTTCGAAAAAGAACCGCACCTCTTCTGTCATACGTCCACTGTTAGTTAGAATGCCACCACCCGTATTCAAAAAAAGACTAGTTATGGATTAGAGATGATAAAGTCCGCACGATTTCCGAATGCTTGTCAGCTGAAGAGAAACACAGCGTTTATTTGGTAGTGAGAATTCAGTGTAGTTCGTTAGCGGATAAAATCCAAGAGAGAACGGTTGACGCGGCTGAAATGGCAGTAGTCAGTGTCACACAATCCTACGACTGAGTATCAAAGCGTAGTTCGAGCACTCGATCACAAAATGTGTGTAACAAGGTAGGGGTCCAAAACAAGCGCATGGAAGAAATACGCTTTTCAAAAACAATACCATTTTGTCACATGAATAACATACTCGACCACGTAGGACAAGACAGTTCAGACTCATTTCTTGAATATCCGATAGTTTCTGTGAAGTGATACACAGTGTGGCAGTCGGCGATGTATAACTAAAGATGGAATCACGTCGCACGGAACAGTGATAAACAGCCTAACAAGGAGTTCGTGCACTGAACAGGCAAACCGATCACAAGTCAAAGGGTGTTGAAGCAATTACAGCAAAGCTTAAACAGGATCGCTGTGGCACGTGGAGACAGTAGCAACCATAGAGACGCCATGACATCATAAGCTTACCCGGATGGTAACCCATCGGTTGGAGACGAACCGTTCCGTTTCGTATCTGATGGGTAGTCACGTGGGACCTGAGTGGGGGGTGAGATCACTGGAGTAACTCCAGTGAGAGTGACTCCAGCATGCGCGTCGGAAACCTGAGAACGCTTTTTGCGACTGATAGTGGTCAGTTCAGGTGAGTACTCCTGAAAAAGAAGTGCAAGAGAAGCAAGTATACACAGTCCATGGAAATTGGTGAATAAGCTCATTACCGAGCACGAGGTATGTAGCTGTATGGCCAATACACTTGTGACCAGTTCATCAGATGGTGAGCAGGAATTCAGCTGCTGCAATAAGCGCAATAAGTGAGATACTATCCACCAACAAAGGCTGTAGAAGGCGCATGCGACAGAAGTATCCGTTTAGACAGTTTGTACACTTGGGCAACAATGAGAAGCCGTCAGTCACAGGAGGATTATCGACAGGGAACTGGAATCGTTAAGCCAACTCCAGTAAACCTTCCGAATTGCGTGCATGGACGAAAGTACCATTGTGTAAACCATGACGTGAAAAGAATGGCATTGAAGAGGGTCGTAAAAAAGCAGTGAACAAGTTCGATGGGTGTGTAAGTTAGATTCCACCCAACTCTAAAATTGGGAAGCAGCAATGACAGCATTAAATCCCGTCTTTCGCTCACTCAGCAGGCCACGGGCCCCTAAACGAAATCTAACAAAAGGTAACGAGCAACGGAATACGAAATGCGAATAAGTTGCCGCAGGACAAATGAAGATCGGACGGCCGCATTAATGTAAATTGAGGTGTCTGTACTGAAGATGGGATTAACCGCTTTGCTGATGGATGCCTGACAGGTAATGCTTGGCATAAGGTTCCGGATGGGTGAAGAGAGATCATTTCGAACAGTTTATACACTTGAGACAGACTTCCTACCAGCAGTCATTCGGATCAGTCTACGAACCTATAAGTCAGGCGGACTTTACCATCTGCTCAAAAATTTGTGAGTGGATCTCCGATACGAACCCCTAGATCAAAATAGGCAGCCGAAATGTATCATGAATGTAGTACTTTGTCTCCGATATTTCTCCTTCCTCTTCTTTGCACGTCACCTCCTGACTCCGTGAGTTATACTAATGAACAACTCAGATTCTCATTCAACATTTCACATTGCTTCTTTTAACATCCGCAATGTCTTTTGTGACCAGTGGCACGGATGACCTGGAAGAGCTTGCGAAAGTTTCCAGAGACGACTGTCGTTTTCATCTCTGAGGCACGCTGGGACCACCAAGTTTCGATGTTGGAGCGGTCCAATCAACCTTAAATGATCTCTCTAAAGTGGTTTCATCATTCGGCATGCGCTTCGCACCTTCAAAGTGCAAAGTGTCGCTGCAGCACCACCAGTCACTTGACGACCCATTGACTCTCGATGGCGAGGAACTCCAGGTAGTTGATCAATTCACTAATCCTGGCAGCTGATCAGCAACAATGGGCGCATAACCACTGAAGTCAGTTCACGTATTGCAAAAGATAGAACTGAATTCTTATATCTGCAACATCTGGCGCCGGAAAGCAGATTCCCTTGGTCTGAAAGGCCGTGTCCACAAGGATCCATTAAGGACCGTCCTACTGTGTGGGAGTGAAACTTTGCCCCTTCGATCTGAGCAGTTGAGGCGCCTTCAGGTCTGCGGCGCATTGCTAACCTCGGGTGGCACCACCGTGTCCGCAACAATGTTGTGCGTAGGCAAGTGTTAGGCGGTGATCATCAAGCTAGTCCCAATGAACAACAAATAGCATTGAATAACTTGCGTTGACTTGGACAGGTACTAAATATGCTCCGTCCCCGCTTACTGAGAACGGCCTTGGTTTGTTTGCCAGATGTAAGGTGGCGCAAGGTTCGTAGTGGACAAAAGTTGACTGCCAAGTCATTGACTAGGAAATTCAATGCCGTCGGTCCGTCTCGCCTTCCCGGCTGGAGTCCACGTGAACAGCCTTGTGCTTGGCTCGAGACGTTACAGAACATGGCTCGCAGTCGACACCAGTGGCGCATCTCGCGTTGTCTCTTAGGCAGTCAGCCTGTTAAGTGTCTTTACTACTGAGTTATCTGCGGGGTAATGACTGATTGTGACCCGGGGCAGTGAAAGCCGGAACAAAGCTGTTTTGCTGATGTCACCACATCTTTGCATGATAACCAGGTATTTGTGACGGCACGTTGTTGACAAGCTGTAGGCGCACTGAAACCTGAATGCTTGCTGAGGACACAAAGGTTTAATGCTAGGCCCCCCTTCGCTCCTACTTATTAATCTACTTTCCGTAGTTCACTGTGACTGTATAGCAGAGAAGCATTAGTCCAGAGAGCTTATATATTGTTGTTAATAATTATGATTCTGCGCCGAGACGAAGAAAATTTGGTGGAAGAGGAGTGCTGTCGGGAAAACGTCAGTTTTCCAAGGATTCCCCTGGAACCAACAAAAGGGTGGATTCATCATTATACGTTAGTTTGGTTTTAAAACGGCGTGCGCGAAATTGTTCCTACTTCAGACCCGGACCGTGATTGACCAATCGCTCAAGGCCATTAGAAGACCAATTAATAATCACGTGTTCCATTGATGAATGCCTGATTTGTCATCAGAATAGATCTCGTTCGGAGTTAGAGGCTCTAGATTAGAAGGCGAATCTGGGTTCCGTCTGTAAGATGTGTGCCTATTCCGGTTTCCACCGTGCTTGCGTGTGTTTGTACTGAATTGATAATGCCCGTTGGAGCCGGGGCAGTGAAAGCCGCAACAAAGCTGTTTTGCTGGTGTCGCTTCATTTTTGCACGATAGCCAGGTGTTTGTGACGGCACATTGTTGACAAGGTGTAGGAGCCGTGACCCTGAATGCTTGCTGAGAACACGAAGGTTTAATGCTAGGTCTCCCTTCGCTCCCTCTTATTAATCTTCATTAGGTAAATCACCGTAGTTGTGCGAAAGCGATGCACAGTACCAATGGCTGATATACCGCTGTTGTTGATGATGAAGGATGTGGCAGAGAAAGATCACTGTTACAGAATGACATGTCAAATCAAGTATTACATCAAGAATGAAAGGGCTCTAAGTGGTCCACGTTAACAGGTTACTACGCGAATCTTAACCAGTGAAAAAGATGGGAGTCGTTTAAAATTCGCTGCAATCTGAATCCGTTCACCGATGCTCATCAGAGTGGCTGGGTTAAGATACCTTGACAGGCAGTATGCAGCTGCAACCAATCTATTCGGTTCAGACAATTGTTGATGGTAAAGATTCCACCGTTACGGCAATCAAGCATTGGGGATGTGGATCACAACCCCTTCCTAAGGAGCTTGACACGGGTCCAGTGCATGCAGCACTAATGCAGGACCTTTGATTAGGGTCATATATTCAGGCTCGTTTCTTGGCGGTCGTGGCATGCGTCTCTTGTGTTTTACGATCCTAGTACATAAATATCTCGCGGTTGGCCCGTTTACGCATAAGCAGTCATTGAATCGAAGTAAAGAAACCCGATTTAACATAACATAATCTAAGCCAACTAGTCGGCCTACCTACGGGAAGTGAGTTTTTCAAATGCACCAGCGTCAAATGGAGCGTTTGATCCTAATGGAAGATCTCAATATTTTCCCTTGTTTAATACCTCTGGATAGCTTCCGAAGTTGCCAGACACACGGAGGTTAGCCAATCTACATGAATACGTTACTACGATAACATTTCATACTCAAGATACTTCACTCATAACATTAAATACGGGCAAGGAAATTGAATTTTTTTACATCGTAAGCACCATCCACATCACACCACCGAAAACAAACTCTAGAAGTATTTTGTGGAATCTTGTTGCAAGTAGAGACGTGGTGCACTCGGAATTGTTTTGATAATCATCGAAAGAATGCTAATTTTCATCCCAAGCTCCTTGATGGGTGATGTTGAATGGCTGAGAAAATGCTAAACTTGCTGCTGTCTGAAGCCAGAGGTCGTCCTCCCCATACGACTGAAAATTCGCAAAGTCCAGTAAAACTTACTGTCATCCAACTCAATATAATGTGTCTAATGAAATATTTCAAAATTGCTTTATTGTTCTTCATTTAGGTTTCATGCTTCCACGCAACAATACACAAATAGCAATCTAAATGAACCTGAGGATAAACGTTCTGACCATTTTCATAATTTTGTTCACTTAAAAAGCTTAACTAAATTTAATGCTAATTTGTACTCGCATCCCAATTTTGTGTAACATCGTCTAAAAACTGATGGTTAAGAAACGTCAATTAAATTCACTCACCGTGGTTACCCTGCGATCCCACACATACGACACTGGCGGCACATTCTCATTGCGCCTGCCTGGCGATGATGCAGCTTCAAATGTCGGTCAAGCTGGCGTCGGCATTGTTTTGAGTCCCCGGGCTGAAGCTGCCCTGATTGATTGGATCCCAGTAAACAGTAGGATGTGCGCCGTTAGATTAGCTGGTTCGTTCCGTGCTACGAAGTCGCGCGGGGACAAACGGTGCATGTTTGTCATTGCGACCAACGCCGCCTACAAACTGTAGCACTGATTCGGTAAAAGATGATTTCTATCAGCAACTCCACGAGCTCCTTCGTCACAAAAGAAGCACGGATACTGTGGTGTTGGCTGGCGATCTAAACGCACAAGTCGGAAAACTGTCCTCTGATGAGCTTCATCTGGGCGGCCAACATGGCGTAGGCTCACGTAATGATAACGGTGAGCGATTGCTACAGGTGTCTGAAGATGCTCGACTTTTTCTCGCGAGCACTAACTTTCGACACAGCAACCGGAGAAGCGTGACTTTGCGGCCACCAACCTCGGGCCAGCCATGGACGCAAATCGATCATATCGCGATCAGTTACCGCTGGAGAGGCTGTGTCCAAAACTGTCGCTCGATTTGGAGCACGAGGGTGGACTCTGACCACGCACTTGTCTGCGCCGACCTCCGGGTGCGTTTCGGTGGATGTTCGCAACGTCGATGTCAACAGATTGACACCAGCCAGCTGGCGAAGCCAGGTGAATGAATGATCTGCACTCAATATTAGAACGTGAGAGACTCACTTTAATCATGTCCTGGTAACGTAACTTTGGTTTTCCCATGTATCGCTTCCCAATACTCAGCTGACCATACAAGAGTTGCTTCGGTATCCGCTTTGAATCCATACGGCTCACATGACCGA